TCATGATCTGGAATGTGGAGACCACCCACTTTTATCACTTCTTGGGAAGGTATGGACACCGGTATTATATTTCTAAACTGCCACTTGTATCAATCAAGTAATGAGCAAACTCTGGTGCCATTGTCTAATTTTGCCCTTCACACAAAGAAACTTATTTCGATACTAGAATCCACTTTATGCCTAAAGGTCTCATACTACTACTTCATTGGTCAAATAACAAAATATAATTAAGTTCCTGTTTTATTGTTGGTAAAATATTCATGCAGCATTGTAGCTAGAGTTTTCCTGCCTGGCCCACAGTCAGGACAAATCTCTTATCACCTGCCAGTCCCACAGTCACTCAGACCTGATCAAGTAAACACAGAGACTTGTATTGGTTACAAACTGTATGGCCATGGCAGGCTTCTTGTTAACTGTTCTTACAGCTTAAATTAATCCATTTCTATAAATCTATACCTTACCACTTGACTCGTGGCTTACCGGCATCTTCACATGCTGTTTGTCATCTTGGCGACTGGCAGTGTCTCTCTGACTCAGCCTTCTACTTCCCAACTTTATTCTCCTCCTTGTCCCACCTATACTTCCTGCCTGGCCACTGGCCAATCAGTGATTTATTTACCAACCAATCAGAGCAACACATTTGCCATATAGAACATCCCAGAGCACAGCATAAAAATAGACATTGATTGAACAGTTAGAATTTATATAGACCCACCTTATTAATACTTGAGGACCCAGCAGTTATTAAGATTAAAATAATTCTCTCTTACTAGATCAGGCCCTCTGAGTGGGTGAGACAGTTGACTGGCTTGATCTGTTTGGGAGGCATCCAGGCAGTGGGACCAGGTCCTGTGCTCATGGCATGAGTTGGTTGTTTGAAACCTGGGGCCTATGCAGGGTCGCTTGGCTCGGCCTGGGAGGAGGGGACTGGACTTGCCTGGACTGAGTCTACCAGGTTGATCTCAGTCCTTGGGGGAGGCTTTGCCCTGGAGGAGGTGGGAATGGGGTGTGGGCTGGGGGGAAGGTGAGGGGAGCTGGAGGGGGGAGAACAAAGGAATCCATGGCTGATATGTAGAACTGAACTGTATTGCAAAATAAAAAAAAATAAAAAACTATTGTATTTTTAATTAGACTTATATTATAAGCTGAACATGTTGTTGAGAGAAGACATATTCCATGAGTAAAGGAGAGCAGGTACCCTATGAACATGAAAATGGTCCAACTCTGCTCACTTAAAGTAAAGGACAAAATAGACAGAGGACAGTAGATTGGTGTCACTCAGCCATCATTGGCAACTAAAAGCTGCAGAGAGAAAGCAGATGCTCTTTAAAATGTGTGATGGCAGGAGAATCATGAACTTTCAGAAATGACCAAAAAAAAAAAAAAAAAAAACCAGCAAGTAAAAAATAAAACAAAGAATCCATTTTTAAGAAGGAATGTAGGAAGGTGAACTTCTCACTATTCTCTGAATATATCACAGCAGCAGAGGGAGAAGACTGAGTCTAAAAAAGTATACTGGCCTACAGTGCAATGTCTGTGCACATTTTCTTGCTTAGCGATTGATGTTGGAGAATCCAGACTATTGTGGGTGGGGTCACCTCTGGCTGTCACTCTTGGGATATTCAAGAAAGCAGACAGAGCAAGCCATGGGACACAAGCCAGTAAGCAGTATTCCTTCATGGCCTCTTAATTCAGTTAATGCTTCCAAGTCCCTACCTTGCTTGAGTTCCTGCCTTGAATTCTGTCAATGATGAACTGACATGTAAGCCAAATAGAGACATGACTCTCCAAAAAAGTTTAGATTTGTGATTCTTTTACTATTTTTATGAGAATACCTTTTGAGACAAATAGTAAACTGATCCTTTCTTTTTAACAGCAAAAATACATCCTGCCAGTTAAAGAACTTTTGAGAAAAACAACTTATTTTCTTACACTTTGTTAATCTATAAGAAGTTGCTTAGACAGGAATTTATGTGTGTACTAGGAAATAATTTGTTTAATACCAATAATATGTAAAATGTTTAGCTATATATTGGGGAACATGCTGTTTTTACTTATATTCATTGTGATCATTCACTTGAAAAATATAATGTAAACTCATTGTAATTTTTATGTTGCCTGAAAGGTTTTCCTGGGATATATAAGCTGTAGAGGGTGAGAGGAAGGAAGAAGGGAGGAGTCAGAAGGAAGACATGAGGAAAGAGATAGAGGGGAAACAACAGGAAAGAGGTAAGGGAAAAATAGGAGAGACCTTGACATGTTGAAGATGTGTGTGGGTGTGTGCTTTTCCCTATTTCTCTGGCCTCATAGAATTAAGTTTTACTCCCTCAGATAAAAAGTCAGTTGTGTGATCAATCCTGAATCCCACCTTCTCTTCACTTCCGGAGGTGATGAAAGATGGCACAAAGCAAAACTTTTCTGTTTTATTGAATTCTGATGTGTTAATTGTTTTTATCTTAATATATTATACTATATTATTATAGAAAGAAGCCTGTTCCTTTTCTAATAAGAGACTGAAACGGTGTGGATCCAAATGGGAGGTCAAGTGGGAAAGGGCTGGGGGAGTAGATGAAGGGAAACCAAAATCAGGACATACTATGTTGGGAAAAATCTATTTTCAATAAGAGAAAAAAAGGAAACAGGACGAACTGAGGCATTGTCTGTGATACTTTAGTTTATCCATGTATGATTGTATTTTGATGTTTTTTTGGTGTCAGCTTAAACCCTGATATTTTATTTAGATTGTTTCACATTACAATCTTGTTTCCTGATAGTTAATGGAAAGTGTGGTGATTACATACTTCTATTCCTTGTACTGAATGTCTGCATAATGCTAGTCAACAGATATTCTATTATAACAAATGACTCATTGTCCTAAATATGCTCATTAAGTGTGATTTACTAGTCTGATTTATTGTTCTTTTCGGTATAATATAATAATCTTAATGTATTTAACCCTCCTCTTTTTCAACCTCTCACACCAACCACAGACAAACATTTCTTCTCAAAGCATCTCCCCCTTTTAATTTACTAATACACTTGTTGTGATATATCCCCTCTGAAAGACCTACCCTATCTGGGGATCCCTTTCTAGCTCCTTACATATAGGTATAGTCAAAATTAAACATAAAAATGAAAAAATTTGATGATACGATTTACGAATGAGTGAGTAATATGTCACTTATCATTCTGGGACTGGACTGATTCAGTCAATACAACTTTTCCAGTTCCATCCATTTTCTCAAAACTTTCATAATTTCATGTTTTTTTATATCTGAACAAAATTCCATTGCAGAAATGTACAACATTTTTTTATCCGTTTATCTTGTTGTGAACATCTAAGTTCATTTCCTAGCTATTGTGCACACACCAGCTGTGGGGATCTGAAAGACTCCTGCTCCCACATTTTCCACCTATTCTAGGTTTCTTAGGAGGAGGAGAGAAGGATTGGAAAATATTAGATAGAAAGAGAGACCTAGTAAAGAAGAGGAAAGACAGAAACACAGGATAGTTTCAGGAGAGTCTGGATCAATACCCAACAGCCTCCAAGTTTGTTTCAAAAGGCTTGTTACAACATTCCAATGGGAGGCAGAAAAGACCTGCACTTTCAAGATCAAAGCACACCATACATCCAAGTGTAGACACTTCCAAAAACCTGGCAAGCATTCCCGTGTGGAAATCATCTCATAATGCAGCGCTGCTGGGTAAAGCAAGGTAAGATTCTCTGACCCTGGGTATTTGGGCCTCCACAACCAGCAAAATGTGTGGATGTGCATTTATGTCTGTTATAGGTTATACAGTCCTTTAGGTACACCCACAGGAAAGGCACAGCTAGGTCATGTGATATTTGTTGCCATCTGAGGAAATTGTACATTGGTTTCTATAGTATTGCACTCCCACCACACTGAAACAGGGCTCCCCTCTCCTCCCACTTTCATCCTTCTAGAATCTTGATAGTCTGTTTTGTGGATATTGAGGACTTTCAAAAAGCTGAGATATTGTTTGTACATTTAAAAAAAATATGCGCCGGGCATAGGTGGCACACACCTTTAATCCTAGCCCTTGGGAGCCAGAGCCAGGTGGATCTTTGTGAGTTCAAGGCCAGCCTGGTCTACAGAATGAGCTCCAGGAAAGGCGAAAAGCTACACAGAGAAACCCGGTCTTGGAAAAAAACCAATATATACAAGCTATGGCTTGCTTACATAGCCCAAGTGAAAGGAATACTTCTTTCTTCAAATGGACCTGATGAAATTTTATCTCCTGATTTAAACTGCATCAGAATTGTTGCCTTTTACATAGCATGAAAAATCATGTACTAGGTAAGCTATTCATTTGAACATTCCATAAATGTTTCCCCATAATCCTGTATCACTTTTGGTGGTGAAACACACAAGAAGCAATACTGAGAATTTATCTGGACAGTGCTAAACAAATATTTTTATATTCAGATCTTTGATTGTGAAATTTAATAACGTTTTCATTCCACCCTCTGGAGAAATACATCTTCCTACGACATCCACACTTTCTATTTTCTTGTCCATGATATCTCATTATTATGATATCTCTTTAGTATTATATGTTGTGATGCTTCATGGACTGTTTAGACAGTGAAATGGGATTCAGTCCATATTGGAAGAAACATCTAGAAAACAACATAACCCTGAACCAAGAGGATGGTTAAGAGATGCTCTGAATTTCAAACAACTGAGTGTATCCCAGATACTTTCTTAGACTGTGCTAATTTTGCATCCATGTATGTGAGATACATGCACAAGTCTCTTTCAATCTCAACATCTCATCAGGTAACCAGAAGGGGGAGATAGACTCTCCAAAGGAACAAGAGCCTGCTCTCCTGAGCAGTTCTTTATTGGAACATATATGAAGTTAGTATCATTTGCATAAGTGCTTCTTCTTTCTACGTTCTTGCCTCTTAGAATATTATAAGAAGTTCTTTCTCTGGGCTGTGTCATGACACACATAAACACAGGAAAAGCTGGAAGATGGTGTCCACATCTCAGCTCCTTGGACTTCTTTTCTTCTGGGTTTCAGGTATGAGATTTTAGACATGGCAAAAAGTGGAGATGTTAATTACATACAGAATTTTCTTACATCATTAGGAAGCACAGCCTCACACGGAATTTGTCTTTCTGTTTGACCCTATTGATACAATAAAATAAACTTCTTAAAAGTCGTTTAGAAGTGACTTTCATATGCAATGTTGTGATCTACTTATATTTCTCCTATGTTTTCAGCCTCCAGAGGTGACATCTTGCTGACTCAGTCTCCAGCCACCCTGTCTGTGACTCCAGGAGAAAGAGTCACCATGACCTGCAAGGCCAGTCAGAGTATTGGCAAAAGCTTACACTGGTATCAGCAAAAACCAAATGAGGCTCCAAGGCTTCTCATTGAGTATGCTTCTAGTTCTGTCTCTGGGATCCCCTCCAGGTTCAGTGGCAGTGGGTCAGGGACAGATTTCACCCTCAGCATCAACACTGTGGAGCCTGAAGATGTTGCAACTTATTTCTGTCAACAAAGCTATGACTGGCCTTCCACAGTGATACAGACCATAGCAAAAACCCCCAGGGAAGCAGAAGTGTGAGGCTGGGCTCTTTCAGCTGCTTCTGGTGGTTCCTCTATGTTCTTCAAAGTGTTTTACAGATGCAAACAACCTTGAGATTTACACAGACAATTGAAGAATTGAAGTGAAGAGTCCTGGCAAGCTTTCTTGCCTCTGACCTCTCTTCACTACATTTTCACTTCAGAATACACACATAATTGAATTTTCTATTTTTCCTATATTCATTCACTTTATTCTCAGTGAAGTTTTTCCAGAGAGTTAAGAACCAACTTCCCACACAATTGTCAAAATTAAAATAAAAATTGTTAATTATGGTTCACTTTATATTAATTACCTGACAGTGATTCATTAACTCTTGATTAGCCATAAAAATATAGTTTGGAATATATTTAAACTGTTCTTTAAATTTCATGATTATCAACTCTATAGATGTTCCTTAAATGAAAACTATGCTGTTGCCTGTGGTTCCACTACAGAATTTTTCAAAATGGAATATTTTTATAGTTGAGAATTTCATTTATGCCTCCAATTATTCTCATCCAGCCTACTTTTTCTAAATCCTACCAAATCTAATACTCATCCCTCACCACCCTCCCAATTCATCTCCACATATAAATATACCTTGTACACTGAGTGCAATGGGGTTAGTGATATATTCATGGATGTAGGACCTTCCACTGGAGGGAGCATTTTCAAATCATTAGAGACAACAGTCTTAGAGAAACTGTCTCTCTCACCCTTAGAAGCCATCAGCTATCACTAATAGCTCATCAGCTGGTGCAGGCTGAAGAGCCCCTCCCCCTCCATGCTCCAGTGTTGATTGGATTAATCTTGTGCAGGTCTTATCCAGACTTCCACAGCTGCTGTGAGTTCATCAAAGAAGGAGTACCGAGATGTCCGTAAACTCTGTTGTGTTCTGTTTCTCCCTCACCTTTGGCTCTTACAGTGTTTACACCCCTTTCGTATGATGGTCCCTGAATCTTAGACAACTTTTTGACTTTGTAAGCTTTTGTGTTCCATAGAAACCATATTGAATTTGTAATCTATTTTTTAAAAAATTGAAGTCTGTTGCTAATATCAGCTCCCCCAAGGAGGGGACAGGATGTGGGTTATAACTTAGGGCTCTAATCACAACACGGTCTGAATCTCAATTCTGTGCTTCCTGATGTTCTTTATCTCTGAGAAGATGTTCTTTATCTCTGAGAAGAACAGGAAAAATGATTCCCTGAGTTTCCTTGTCATGGAAGGTGCCAGAGAGATCTCAGGGCTTTTCTAAGACGACCCATGTACCTCAGAGATCTGTATTTGAGGGAAACTGATACTTAACACACACACATTTCCTTTGAAAATTGTCCTGTGAATATACCTGTATGTCTTAAATAAATTCTGTACCTTTATTGGCTTTTTCATTTTTACTGAATTTTTAACTAACACAGGGTTATAGTACAGTTTCAAGCTATGATGATCTTTCACATTGGGGACAGAATCATCATCAACTGCTAAACTAGTTTCAGGAGAAACCAGGTTTCATTGTTAAAAACAGATCTCATGCCACATCCCTAATGTCCTGGAATAAAATATCTCCATGCTGGCTTCAGGAATGGGGAAGTGAGATTTGTACCCAAATCATAAGAGTAACCCCTGTTATATGATGTTTTGTTTTTGTTCTGACAAATAAAGCTTGCCTGGAGATGAGAGGCACAGCTTGCCTCTAGTTAAGCAAAGAGATCATGCAGTGGTGGCACTCACCTTTAATCCCAGCACTTGGGAGGAAGAAGAAGATCAGGAGTACAGGGCCAACCTGGGCTACATGGAATTAAACCAGTCTAAAAGAGAAAGAGAGACAGGTGGTGGTGTGCATGCCTTTAATCCCAGCACAATCGAGTTGGAGAAAGGAATATAAGACAAGTGGAGACTGGATCTCAGCCCCATTCAGTCTGAGGATTCATAGAGGTAAGAAGTTTTTGGCAGTTGCTCTGTTCCTCTGAGCTTTCAGCATTTACTCTAACATCTGACTCTGGGATTTTATTTAATAAGACTAATTAAGATCATACCTCAAACCCCATCATGTGTCAGGCCAACACTGAATTGTTATGCATGCCAGAATGTACCAGATAAAGCCATTTTTCCAGGAGTTTTCTCAGAGTGATAGCAGGTTACAAGTTCAGCAGCACCGCTGATGTGAACTGGGACTGAGTCTACATGAATATATGACTTTGCTCAGGTCTGTTATGTCACCCTGCAGGCACTTCTGCTGCTGTGACATTAGGTGGTGACATAAACACAGGTTTGCTTTAATTTTCTTATAGAGCTAAAACTATGCAAAAGAGGAGCTTAGCATGAAAACTGTGCCAAGTCTGTGAATAGGAGGAAGGCAACTCTTCCATTACTCTGTAAGTGACTTCTCTGAAGCTCATTTAGATGGACTAGTTACCTCATTTGTTGGACCATTTGTGTTATCCCAATTTGTAGGCCAATGTTTATTATGCATCATCACAGGAAATCTAGCAAATAAGTTTGAACACATCTCAGTGGCAGTTTTCCAAGAATCTTTACACTCATGATCTGCAATGTGGAGACCATCTATTCTTATCACTTCTTGGGAAGGAATGGACAACTGTGTTATATTTCTAAACTGCCAGTTGTATCACCCAAGTAATGAGCAAACTTTGGTGCCATTGTCTGATTTTGCCCTTCACACAAAGAAACTTATCTTGATAATAGAATTCACTTTATGCCTAAAGGTCTCACACTACTACTTCTTTGGTCAAATGACAAAATATAATCAAGTTTCTGGTTTATTGTTGGTAAATTATTTATGCAGCCTACGAATAGATATTGATTGAGCAGCTATAATTTACATAGACTCGCCTTACTAAGGCTTGAAGGCCCCGCAGTTATCAAGACTAAAATAAATCTGTCTTAGTGAAATGTACGGATTGGAAAAAGACATAGAAAACATTTTATTGTATTTTTTATTTGTCCTGTATTTTATGCTCAATATGTCTTTGAGAGAAGACATATTCCATGAGTATAGGAGAGCAGGTACCCTATGAACATGAAAATGGTCCAACTCTGCTCAGTTAAAGTAAAGGACAAAATATTCACAGGACTATAGAGTCCTGCCACTCCTCCATCACTGGCATCTAAACATTGCAGAGAAAACCAGTTGCTCTTTAATATTTGTGATGGGAAGTGAATCATGAACTTTCAGGATTGAACCAAACAACAACAACAACTAAAAAACAAGACATAAAAACCATTTTTAAGATGGAATGTAGGAAGGGAATGTCTCACTACACTCCAAATATATCACAACAGCAGAGGGAGAAGACTGAGTCTAAAAAAGTATACTGGCCTACAGCAAAGTCTGTGGGCACAATTGCTTAGTGATTGATGTGGGAGAATCTAGATTATTGTGGGTGGGGCCAACTCTGCCTGGTGGTCTTGGGTTATTCAAGAAAGCAGACAGAGCAAGCCATGGGGAACAAGCCAGTAAGCAGCATTCCTTTATTGCCTCTTCTTCAGTTCATGCTTCCAAGTCCCTGCCCTGCTTGAGTTCCTGCCTTGACTTCTGTCAATGATGAACTGACATGTAAGTCAAATAAAGCCTTACGTCTCCAAAAAAAGTTTACACAAGGAAAGAGATACAAGGGAAACAACAGGAAAGAGGTAAGGGAAAAAATAAAAGAGACCTTGACATGTTGAAGGGGTGTGTGTGTGTGTGTGTGTGTGTGTTTGTGTGTGTGTGTGTGTTCCCCTATTTCTCTGGCCCCAGAGAATTAATCTTATTCCCTCCAATAAAAAAGTCAGTTGTGTGATCAATCCTGATTTCACACCTTCTCTTCAATTCCTGAGCTGCTGAAAGCTGGTCTTATATCAGCATTTTTCTATCTCTTTTGTCCAATTCTGGAGTGTTAATAGGTTTTTATATTATTATATTATACTATATTAGATTATTATAGAAAGAAGCCTGTTCCTTTTCTAATAAGAGACTGAAAGGGAGTGGATCCATATGGGAGGGAAGGTGTGGAAGGGCTGAGAGGAGCAGATGAGGGGGAACCATAATCAGGATATGTTTTATGGGGAAAATCTATTTTCATTAAAGGAAAAAAGAATAAAATGATGCTGGGGGATGTCTTTCTGTATGCTGTGAATATATGTTGTTCCCATTGGTTAATAAATCAGCTGCTTTGGCCTATTTCAAGGCAGCTTAGAGGCAGGTGGGAAAGGCGAGAGAGAGGAAGAAGAGAGGCAGAGCTGAGGTGCTGCCAGTCAGCCTCCCAAGGAACAACATACCAGCAGAACAGTATGCCACAGAACACATGGCAAAATATGGATTAATTAAAATGGTTTAATTTAAGATATACAAGCTATCTAGCAAGAGGCTTGCCATTGGCTATATTAAGTTATTAAGTTATATAAACCTCTGTGTGTTCACTTGGGTCAGAGCGGTTGTGGGATGGGCAGGACCCAGAAAAACTTCTGACTACAAATGGGGCCCAGATGTGGTGGCAAGAGTTTCCACCTAAATCCTGAGAGTGCTTAAGAAGAGATTATAAATGTAGCTAAGAGCACCTTCCTAGTTCATGATGCTTATGGCAGGCCCAGTACAGTGATGTGTCCCCTGGCCATGGTGGGTTTGAGGCATGTGGGCTTGAGCACAGCATGGCAGATTCCTGCCATAATACATAGAGGTGTCTCCAAGCTGCACACCGCACTGCGTGGTAGATTTAGTTATTGCTATTACAGACAAAAAAATAAATAAGTAAAAATAAAGGGTTTATGTGCCAGCTGCATGCTTCCTGGTGGCAGCATGGATCCTAGAGTTGGCAGGGTAAATGTGACTGTCCTGAGTATCTCCACCATGTCGGGAAGCTGAGGTGGATTTAGTCAGCAGCCAGGGCTGCAGCTTCATCCTTAGTCATACTGCAGTTTGCAATGATCAGAGGATTATAGATAGACAAAAGACAAATTCAGATGGAATAAAACTGCAAACAGTTTACATTGTGTGTAAAAAG